GTTGATCCTTTACCAAAAAGATTCTCTGAATGACGAAAACAACTGCATTCTAGTAATAATTTGGATCTACACATGCACCAAGCAACTCATCTATTTCTGACCTTGATGTGCTATAAAAATACAGGAAGAGTGTCGCTGTTTCTTCAGCTTCCCAAGAGAAGCCCCAGCAGACAGAGAAACTTGAAATTTCACACCTTTTTCACACTGCATGAGTAATAGAGTACTCACTCATTGGGGGTGTCTTTCTGACCGCAGAACTGCCCGTAGCTGTCAGTTGGATAAATCACTTTCCTGGGGTCGCCGTGCACCCAAGCTGCAAACACACACATCATCTTTTAGCATGTTACTCAAGTGTACACAGTTAATAGTTGAAGCAGACCAGCATGAATATGTATCACGTCTAATGTACCGTTTAATCTCTGTTGATCACCACTGAAGAGTATTGATTTGTAGAGTTCCTAATGGAACACCAAAACATAAACCAAACTAAGCTGAACTAAGATACGGATGAATCAGGAAGAAAGCAAACCAGCTCACTTTTTACCTTCAGGGCACATGTATCTGGATTGTATCCAAAATATGGCATAATGGACTTAAAAACTGATGGTTTTCAAAAGGGGAAAGAAGAGGAATTAACTATGTAGACAAATCTGAGTGCTGACAACATTTCAATGGCATTGAAATTAATGGGATTAAGTGGGGGTGTGACGGATACACAAAAGGCGTGACCAAATGTAATGGACTCCATTTGCACTATGAATGGAAATGAACTCTCACTTTGTAAATTAAACATTTCCCAACTTGGCAACTTTCCCATTTTTAGTTATTAGGTCTGCACCTGGCAACTTGTGTATTCTATGGACTAGCCACAACCATGGCACTGAATGGGAAGAGGTTTATATTGAACTTTTAAACTTTTCTCCACTTTGAAGCAGGGTTTCTTCTCGAAGCCACTTCCACCTGCACCGTGATTTCCCCTTAAGGATCAGGTACACACCAGCTGTCACTACTAGTGTCACCATTCCTAAGATGTACTGTGCAGACCTGATTTAGCTTCCTTCATGACTAGCCAAAGTCTAACCTTTGAACTCTCCTGACTAACTGCTTACCTTGACCTGAAGGAATGGAACTTGCATGTATTTTTAAGTATCATCTGAAAGGAAGATGTAATACCAGAATAGAATTCCCTATCACTACCCTGAGATGACACCCTAAAATCAGGTTACTAAAGAGCTGTTAGAAATTGGATCTTCTTCCAAACACCTCCTTGTGCTTGTATTACGTGGGAAAGATTAAAAGCATTACAAAGCTTCCCGTCCCAATGTTCCCCATCCGCACTATATACTAAATGTCAGGAGCCCACTTAGCATACACTTGAGGCTTTGAACTATGCAAACCACCTTGAACTTGCTTCTCTGTAATTATCCCATTTTCTCTCAACTTTGTGACATTATATTTAGTCATTTGTGCAGCTGTCATTTTCCTCAAGGTCACTTTGGTAAGAACAACAGCACTTAACAACGATATGTGTAGGAGAGGCAGAGCCTACGTAAGATCTCAGAGCAGCGGAGTGTAAATTTATTGAAACATTCAGGACAGATGCACAGCATCTTCAATGACTTGCAAACACTGACAGAGCATCTGTAATGCCGCCTTTCACCTAGAACACTTTTAGGTTACTAAAATGAATCTGCTAGTTCTTTTAACCTACATTAGTTTTCCTGTGCTTTGGAGTTCGGAAATCAACCTGCTGCTTGGTATCAAACACTTTCTGGACTTTCCAATCGGCTGCATTTCAGAATAACTGTGATGTTCTGACACTCAGAAAAAGCTAAAGCGCTTCAACAGTGTTAAGCATCACTCCCTTTTTCATTTGTTAGCCCCACTGGCATATTTCAGTAGCACTGCTTAAAGGGAATATTTAGGAGGCATCAACTCCCTCTTAGGAATTCTTACAGTCAGTTGATAACTCATGTGTGCACATGATATTAGAAAGCAGGAGGCTCTCTGGTGACTGCAAAGAGTCTCTATGTTCTGCCATGTGCACTCTATTCCATCATGACTGACAAGAGGGAGTTTTTGTTTCTGCTTTAATATGACCTCGCTTCTGTAATCCAGGAGTTGTTGCTACTGCCAACAATATCCCTTTCATATTAAACCTGGAATTCTTTTTCACTCCTCAGAGAAACCTGGGAGAAAGGAGATAAACACTGCAACATAATGGTGGTGGAATTGATTATTTTGTTTTGCTATCGCAGTCTCATTAAGGATCTTTCCTTAGGAAGGGCTCACGAGAGCCAGGCTTACTTCTTCCAGTCTGCTTGGGTGGACTAACACAGCCAACAAGAACAAAGTTCAGCTCATCGAATGGGCAGAGCAGAGCATTCTCCTCACTCTCTTTTCAATTCTAATGCAAAGCCTGCTCAAGTATTTCAAAAGGCTCCCTTGGTTTTGCTGGGTTTGTATGAATCCTTGGTCTCAAATTTAACCACCCACCTTTTGCAGTGTTTTTTCTCAATTACTAGTAGAAATTAGGAGATTGTAAACCGTACCTGCTTTGCCATTATCAGATTGTCTAAAGCTGTCCTTGGCAGTAGTTCTCCTGTGTGCCTAAGGCTTCAGTCATGTTTTCAATAAGACAGTATGAAAAAGAGTCTGCTTTTTGAACAGCAGATTTAGCACACTTTTTGAAATTCCACCACTGGGATCAGCTGGGGGATGGAGGAAGTCACCTCTCAGCTAAATTCCAAAGCAAAATGAAAACTAATTGTGTCTGATTTATGACATATATATTTAGCATTTCATTAACTCTGCAGCAGAAAGAGAAGGAAAATGACCCATAGAAGAAAAAATACACAGCTGCTTTCATTGCCTGTGCCAGGGGTTAACATCAAGATTAATAAACTTAATCCTCTGTTGCCTTCTTTGCAAACTTTGAGCAATGACAGTGAAAGAATACAGGTGACAAATAAACAACTTCTAGTCAGAACTCGGCAGTTCTCACTGAAAAGAAGGTTGTTGTAAGAAATAGCCCGACAGAGAGAACAGCATCATGGTCTGCATGTTGTGCTGCACTGCTGGTGACTAAATGAAAAGGAATCCAGCCACATACAATCCTGATTCCAGCATGCTCTGATGCTCATGAGTCCTGGAACAAACATCTGGGCTAAAGCTAAAGAACAGCTGAACCATAATGCAGCATTGACTCAGCTCTCAGAGTGGCAACATGACATTCTATGACACTAGAATAGTGTTTTCCGGAGGCCTGCAGCTATGTGGAGCCAACACACATGGGCAGTATCAAAAATAGCCAATGTCTGTCACTCAGTGCCTGTCAGATGCACTCCTTTTTCTGTGCTTTCTGGGATATGTCAGTGGTTGTAAAGGCTAGAAAGCTCCATGTCGAGGAGAAAATGTGATTAGAGCAATGGCATCTTGTGATACTTAAAAACAAACTGCAAATCTATCTGGGTATACATCCTCTCTCATTCCCTCTCTTGTGTATTTTTGAAAGGGCAATTTTTCTATTCTTATTTTGCTTCCCTTAAGGGTGTATTTTACACGTTTTAGTGTATGAAGAAACTGACCTGCCAAAGTGTTCTTACGGCTTTTTAATACAAGCAATTTATCAAGGTATTGAAAAAGGTAACAGAATAAGTGATACAGAATTTGTAAATCCATGTGCCTAACACCGGTATTGTAGAAGCATCCCTTGTTGTATCAGAGTAACACAGCAAGAGTCATTACTTTAAAGTGTCCTTTGACGTGAGGCTTTTTTCCAGGGTACCTTATTTGCTGCCTTTTACATGCACTTTGCTGAATTAAAATAATCTTGAATTAAGATGCTAAACATTTATAAAGTATCACCCAGATAAGACCAAAGTCTCTGGAATATACATGAAAGTTAAGCCAGTTTGTCAGGAAGGAAAACCAACATGGAATGTTAAATTAGCACTATTAGCTCATCTGTAAAGTTTAAAGAACGAGAAAGTAAATCATAGAATAACAACTTCTATTCAGTACAGTCACTCAACAGCAGCCACCACTGAAGCAGAACTAAGCACAGCTCGTAGCAAAAATCAATTTGTTTTCATCTTTCAAGGAGAGTTGGTTACCTTTTACTCAGACTACATCCCAAGCCACAGAAACACCAAATATTCCACTGATGCTTACAAAAATACACATGTGAGCTATACATACATTACTAAGGGCAAATTTCGACTCACATTTTCAGCCATAGCAGTTGTGCGATGAACCTGCATTTATTGTTTACTTCTCAAGCCAAATTAAACAGGGATCCAAAGCAGCATTCACACATTTTCAAGAAATACCTTTTCCATTCCATAATAAAGCATAATTATTGAGTAAGGATTGATTCAGAATCTATTTTCTCTTAATGTACACCTCGTTGACTCTCACGTACTTTGTACATGGCTGGCCCCTGGAACTGGGCCAAAGCTGATCTCATCTTCTACTTAGAAATAAATTAGAGTAAAAAGAATAGCTGAAGCACAGTACAAGGAAAGATGAAAAGCAGGGACCATGTGGACCTGGAGCTGGACTAAATATTTCTAGATTGAAAGTTCAGATCTTCTCTGTAAGAAAGGTAGAGAAAGTCACCAGCTACAAATTCAGTATCTGGTTCTAGGAACAGGTTCTAACTGTCAGCAGCATTTCGTAAGGTTTGCCAGGGAAGGCTGCTCAGATGCCTCCTGTTCAGCAGGAAACCACTGCATGTGCAGAGAAGGGAATAAAATCACTTCGTTGTCTCACATCACCGTAACCACGTTGCCTGAGAGGACAGACATAACAGAGAGAGGAACTGGCAGGACTGCACCTGCTGTACTTACCCACAACTCCTAATGCAATGTAACCCAGAATGACGACTATGAAGATCACACAGCACACGATGTCTGTACAGTGCCTAGGAACAGAAAGAAACACTTTTTAAAACAAGGTGTCTAGTAGAACCCTTTGAGGTGTTTTTAACATCTGAAGAAGATGTCTACATATGCACTAAGTGCAACTCTTACAAGGTCGCATTTGAGGTGTAAGCAAGTAACTGTGTATGCCCTTCATGCTGTAGACAGCAATAAGAACATACTGAACAATAGATTTAAACATTCTTAAAACAATACCTTACAACACTGAGTCTACGAGACCACGTACGGTAGAAGCTCCTACAGGACATCTGCCCTAACACTGGTATCAAATACTGCAGACAATGTGATGAAAGAAAGATTCAGCACAACTCACCTGTATTATAAACATATGGACGCATATGTTATGGAAACATAACAGCATGAAATGAAAGAAAGGCCTACCTGCAACTACCCCTAATCTCTGCACAAGATTCCAACTCAGCTGTTTGACCTCATTTAACGCAACCGAAATATGCTCTACAGAGAGGACAAAAGTCCCCAGCAAACCCTGGAGAGTCATACCTTCTTTTACAGAGAAACAAACAAAGAGCAACACTCTTCTGTCTGAAAACTGAGCCAATGAGTAAACTGAATAGTCAGTTAATTACTGTCGTTGACTTACTGCTCTGCACATTAATGTCATGCAGGCAGAGGAGTGGAGGTGTGACCAGTGACCACTTAGACTAATCTTTCTCCAGTGTCTGACCTTGATCAGAGCAGCTCCAGGACTGTAATTAACATGAACTACGATGCTCCCAGGCAAGCAGGAAGAGGTCAGTATACACTCCAAGGACTCCAACTATACAAGCCCTGGTTTGTAAAGATGTGTGGAAGCAAAACCACTGCCACCTCACAAGGTTTTGCAGGCTTCACTGCTTAAGAAACAGTTGCAGCTGAACAGGTCTCACCAGGGTTTAATTAACAAAGGGCTAAAAGGGCGTGCTGCCCAGAACCTCCTCACCTGAAGGACTGCAGTCACTTGTTATTTCCCATGTCCTGCTTGTCTGACACAGCTTTGGTGAAGAACGCCTTGTACAACCTAAAGGTTACAAGCTGTTCATCTCAGCTTGCGACTCTATGCAAAGACCTGAATCTCACCGTAAAAGAAACCTTAGAATCCAAACTCCAATCCAAAAAGTGGGATTGAGTGCGCCCTCAGCAAGTTTGCCGATGACACCAAGCTGTGTTGATACACTGGAGGGAAGGAATGCCATCCAGACGGACACTGACACGCTTGTGAGGTGAGCTGATGCTAACCTTATGAAGTTTAACCATGCCAAGTGCAAGGTCCTACACCTGGCTCGGAGCAATCCCAGGCACAGCCGTTCCTAAGAGGTACGATATTTAATTCAAGATGTCTCAGGAGAAATATGGCACCACAAAAGACTTTAATTACAACTCCTATAGTCTCAAAGACCTCTGCCAGTCCAATTCTCACAGGTCTCATTTTATGATACTAAATGCAATTAGAGGTTACACCATTTGTGCTAAAGCTCCCTTTTAAAGTTTTGCAGAGCCATCACAAACAAGTACCACCAACACTTTACCAGAACACAGGATCTTTGGTTCTGTGTAAAGCACAAAAGTATTGCTGTTATAGAATCATAGAACCATAGAATAGTTAGGGTTGGAAAGGACCTTAAGATCATCCAGTTCCAACCCCCCTGCCGTGGGCAGGGACACCTCACACTAAACCATCTCACCCAAGGCTCTGTCCAACCTGGCCTTGAACACTGCCAGGGATGGAGCATTTACAACCTCCCTGGGCAACCCATTCCAGTGCCTCTGCACCCTAACAGGAAAGTACTTCTTCCTTATATCCAATCTAAACTTCCCCTGTTTAAGTTTATATCGGTACTTTAAATGATATGAGAAGTACATAAATCCTCTTTCGGGTGGCTTCAGAAAAATCTGAAACAGTTCACAAGACTAAATGTTGTTTGCATGAAATAACAGCTTATTTTACAAGACACTATGGGTGAAACCCTGGCTCTGTTGAACTCTACTGTCAGCTCAAGAAGCTCACTTTCAGTGAGATCACAGTATTACCTCATAGACCAAGGGCTCCACAGGAGAGGAAGAAAAATGTAAAACAACCTAAATGAATAAATCAAAGTAACTCCGTAAAGACACAAGGTTATACTGTGAAGATTCTGGGAGTTTCCAAAGGTGCAGGAACTGGAATGATGGGAATTTCTTTGAAACAGGAAATACTGGAAGCCCATGTTTACTACTGAAACCTAATCAGAAATTCTCCAGCCATACTTTGACTAAAAATAGATTTGATATTCTTTTTTTCAAACTAAGAAGGTGGCTTGTTATGGCAAATCTGCTTTTTTGCTTTGTTTCAGGCTAATGAGGCAGAGTAAAATTACTCGGGAGACTGAACTGTTAAACTGAACCCCAAGGAAGATGGATTAATGAAAACAGGATTATGAGCATAGGAACCGAGAACACTGCTGATCATACAGGCTCTAGGATCTTGCTTACAGATAGCGTGATCACACTTTTCTGTAATAATGATGTGTAAACATTCAAAGATTAATGATATAAAACACTTCACATTTCTTATGGCGGAGATGATGAAAACATTCAAAGTGCTTTTGCCAACAGGCAATATTGGAAATTATGATGGGTCTTGGTACTTTTGAGATAACTAGGCTCCATAATCTAAGCCAAACCACAGTGAGTCTGTGTTTGAAGACGGAAATAAACTGCTGATAAAACCACCCAATTCATCATTTTCAGGTGATGTCATGAAAGCCCTTCATTTGGTTAAGTGCATGGTTAAGCCTGCTGCATCACATTTTACTGCTTACTACTGTCATTTAGCTTAATTTATGGAGCCTTCTTTGCTTTCCACCGTCTCTCAGAAACATACCATAGAATCATAGAATCACAGAATAGTTTGGGTTGGAAAGGACCTTAAGATCATCCAGGTCCAACCCTCCTGCTATGGGCAAGGACACCTCACACTAAACCATCTCACCCAAGGCTCTGTCCAACCTGGCCTTGAACACTGCCAGGGATGGAGCATTCACAGCTTCCCTGGGCAACCCATTCCAGTGCCTCACCACCCTAACAAGAAAGAACTTCTTCCTTATATCCAATCTAAACTTCCCCTGTTTCAGTTTGAACCCATTACCCCTTGTCCTATCACTACAGTCCCTAATGAAGAGTCCATCCCCAGCATCCCTATAGCCCCCTTCAGATACTGGAAGGCTGCCATGAGGTCTCCACACAGCTTCTTCAGGCTGAACAGCCCCAACTTCCTCAGCCTGTCTTCATACAGGAGGTGCTCCAGCCCCTGATCATCCTCGTGGCCTCCTCTGGACTTGTTCCAACAGTTCCATGTCCTTTTTATGTTGAGGACACCAGAACTGCACACAATGCTCCAGGTGAGGTCTCACGAGAGCAGAGTAGAGGGGCAGGATCACCTCCTTCGACCTGCTGGTCACGCTCCTCGGCTTCTCTTGCCGGGTTACTTGTGGCAGTGCACACAAAGAATACTTTGTGCATGGCATCCTAGCAAATAAATGAATGCAAAGATAAAATCATCCACACAGATTAGTGCCTAAAAGCCATTTATTCATTGACAGTTTATTCACTTCATTGTTAATGACTGTCTAGAACCTCTCTCTGTTCAGCAGTTTGATGCCCAATCTGTCACAAGTGCAATTTCACTCAAGATGCTGCACTAGCAAGAAAATACAACATTCATTAGGGAAGCAGCACGAGCAGATATTAGCACCTACAAATAGCCCTGAGATCGGCACTGTGCATCTGCAGAGAAAACGAGGCTCAAGATGTTCACAGTGTGAGTTTCAGGTTACCACTTTCAATTCTGCTGACACATTAAAGTGACCACTAGTGGCCTTGCTTCTGAATTCCTCTTCCCTGCTTGACTGACAGCTTGTGTTCCGAGACTTCCCTAAACCACGTTGTGTCAAGGTGGTGTTACACTGTGCCACCCAATGCCTTCAATAGTTCTGAAGACTCCTTTCTCCATTGGGGCTGAACTGAGAAACAAAATCTGCTGTACAAATGGGCATTTCTATCGGCATAGTGGCACTGAAGGCATCATCCTGCACAACTGAATAAATGTCCAGGGCGCTCAAAAGCTAAATATTTGTAGAGAAAGTTCCTTTCAAATCCCCCAGAATTGCTACTTCTACCGAGAAGGCCAAAACACATGGAAAAAGGTATTTATGCAAGTTTTCACCACAAGATGTTTTCTGTCAACTTAAATTCTGCATTTTCTTTATGATTGATCTGCACTGACTTGCATGGACTTACTAAGTTGACATGTCTTAGTTACAGGTACAGTGCTTTATCAAGTATTGTTTAGATCTGGAACACCCAGATTTCAGTATCTGGAAATGCTCAACATCTGTAGACACGGAATGCCCCAATCCAGGAACATCAAACAAGAGTTCAAAATAAAATGTAGGCTTCCCCATGCATATTAGTGAGTACGTGGCATGTTATGTTTATACAGACAACACCACGCAATGGAACATAGACGGAACAATAAAATACCAGTAGCAAGAGAAGTAATGTTATATTCTACCAACACTTATCTACAGCAGACTTTCATCTTTAGCAGGCTATTTAGTCTAAAAAGCATAAAGGATAACTTAAATGTCAAAAATTGTTTATTATTTCAATATTGATGACTATCAAGTGATGTGCATGGAGACATCTATAAGCGATGCACTTGTATATTATGAGAAGGTGAAGTTTGTATTGCTAGTTACAGTCAGCAATTTTTATTAGGTTTTTCCAAACTCCTAAAGATAACTCAGTGCTTATGGTCATTTATGGGTATTCAATTCACCTGAGAACCCATTAACTATATTTTCTAATCACAGAGAAAAAGGTGATCTTCGTCTTAACAAGAACACTGAATTTCTAGAAAGACGTTGAACAATCAAAGATAACCCAGGAGGTGTCAGAGTTTGTAAAACATCGCAAGAAAAACAAATCTACAGTGTGTCTAACCAGCAAGAGGAAGACAAGAAAAGGCCAAGAGAAGAATACACAGAAGAGGGAGAAAAATAACAAGGGGCAAGGGAAAGAGTTAAGATAAACTCCACAAAACTTGAGGGAAGCCAGAAGCGTGATTTACTCATCTGATTTTGCCAAAGCAGTTTAGAAAAAGATGCCATGGTTGTACTGACTCTATAAATTCACTTGCTGAAACTTAGGGAAAATCTAAGTGAAGGAAGACAGTTCATTTCATACTCAAAGTAGTATCATTGCACTAGGAAAAAGTAGAAGCAGTATGGTGGTACCTGACTGATTTATCCACAAGCATATGTAAGATATCTTATGATGATGTTGCTGGAAGAAATGCTTTTTTATTCTTAAAGAAGCATAACACACTCTATCTGGATTTCTTATTAATGGCAAGCCTTCCCCCTTTGCCTGGCATTGGCATCAAACACTGAGACCATGCAACAGAGCCCTCCTCTCACGTGACAAATCTGCCTGAAGCCCAGTATGAGAGACCGTTTCAGTGCCAATGGGAGAGACAGACAGACATACAGCTAGCTAGCTTTAGGGCTGTGACACCAGAAAAGTGTTCATACATCTGGAAACTGAGAGGTGCCCAACTCACTCCGCTCCTAGGGGTGAACCTCTTGGGGCAGGGACAGATGGCTTGGAGGAAATTTCTGCCTTTGAGGAATCAGAGATAGTTTAGGCCTAAAATACGATGTGCTAGATTTTGTCTTGTGTGCATTCAGTTAAGCTGATCATCAGATCTGGTGTGAGAAAGGTGCATGCCTCCAGCTCGGACTGACAGGAACACCAGGAGTTTGTATTTTCCTCGAGGAATTTGTCTACAGGAATCCTGCTGCATCATTTTGAGTTGAGAAAAGGCTGAGCTACTGCTCACAGGGTGGATGCAATATACAAACCTCCTCACAAGCATTTTCTGGTAGAAATACACATAGGTGAATGCTTAATAACATCCCTAAACTATCACTTAAATTCATTGCTGTACACAGTGCAGTATCGTGATACTGGCGGTATCATAAGGATTTTCTCTAAACAAACGTTTTCATTTATTTCTAAAATTCTTAGTTTTCAGAAAGGAAAAGAAGAAATACATGTTGCATAGACAAGAACAGTGGGCATGTGTTCAAATAAGGGTACCACAAAGCTGCAGTTCTCTTATACAGGACAGACAAAGATGCTCTGAGAAATTGCCCATGATTTCTTAGATGCTTTCTGAGTAATTTCCCTTGTAAACTACTGAACCTTCAAAGTGCTAACAGACATGCTTTCATCTGCACCACCCACTATGGAGTGAAGTCCATCCAGATGGTTCTGCTAGGAGGCTTTGTAACAAAGAAAATGTTTCAGAGCTACTTTTAGGTTAGATACAATCCACGTTTTCAACACATATTTCACTGTACATGAACATTTCTATGGAGAACAGAGGCAGACAGTTCTGAACAGTGCAGAGTAAGAATAGAAAAACCTGAAAGGTCTGCAGGATGCAGTCATACCAAAGACATCATCTTGATAGCATCATTTTGGATTTTCATGAGCTGGTTGGCTTAGAGTCAATCAACACCATGGACATTGCATTTTAACTGTTTTTAATAAAAAGATATTTGCATTAAATATACCAAACTCCACAAACAACCCCCTTCAGAATGATGGTACTAGCAAAGCACTATACACATTGCCTTGCTGATAACTCCTCTTGCCCACCATTGTTCAACATAGAACCACTAGCAACAGCTCTGTTCTATAAAACAAACAAACAAGGTCAGACAACTGAATCTCCTTGCAAAGAATTCATCTGACAAAAACTGTGGGAGTAATACACTTCAGCAAGGGTCTCCAGGCTGGGTGGCTCCAGCAGTCAGCCCCATCACTGGCAGTGCTCCTGCCACTGTCCAAGCACTACCCATTGTTTACCAGGGATTTACCCCACTTGCCAGCTCGGGTACAAAAGGAATGGTGCACACCAGCACATGCTCTGGAGAGAACTAGGGCAGTCACTTAATGAGGTGACTTTGGGAGCAGGAAAACCAGCTGAAGAACAGTGTGTGAGGGTTCCAGTCCTGTGCTCTATGAAACCAGACACAGTGCACCACACAGTCCTGCACCCCAGAACATGACAACACCTCAAATGTTCCTACTTATGTCATCACAATGTAATTCAGCAGGTACTAGACAGAATGAGGTGTACAGAATTGGTATTCAAATAGAAAGAACTAAAGAGCATACAGTTAAATATTCCCCGGTAATCACACTTCCTCCTAGGTGGTAAGGATTGTCTTCTGGATTTAAAAGAATTGCAGAATCAGATTCACAAGTTTTGTTAACAAAGTTATTTACCCCACTCACTGCAAAACTGAAAGGATTAAATGAATGAGTTAAGCTATTTACCTGTTATGGATAGGTCCTCTGAACTTTGGGTCAAATTTCCTTGGTTCACCTGCATTTAAAATAAAAGAGTATAAAAATATGTCCTTATTTAAAATAAGATCTATAGAGAGGGGGATGTTAGCAGCAATCTTTGAAGAACATCTTCCATATATTCCTGTTTAATCAGTTCTATTAAAATCATTTCAAGTAGGCAATATCAGTAATCCACCAATAGAATGACCTAGTTTTTGTAGATGAGATCAGAGCTTTTTTTCTTCTATCTTAAAAACTTTGTGGGCCTCACATTTACCACACAATAAATTACCTCAACGAACATTCTATTACTAAACCTCTGCACAGGATTCACAGTAGAAAGTTGCTGATACTTGAGAGATAGGATTATGTCTTGCAGTCACGTTAAGTGTGTTTGGCAGAAAGTGAACCTACCTCTCTGAAGCTGCAGGCTAAACCCTTCTGGTTTTTCTTTTAAAACCAGTTTTGAGTCATACCTGTATCTAATGTTCTCCTTACAGCCTTGCAGAGTTACTCGCACTTCACACTGCTTTGGTTGCAGGACTGCACAGGCACAGAGCTGCAGGTCTGCCCTTTTCGCACTGGGATTATGAGATGATGAAGCATGGCTGGAGACTGCAGAAATTCTGGGCTGACCTTGCTCCCTCTACACAGCTCTGCTTGGTAGTGCAACTGCTCTGTCTTATATTCTATAATATTCCTTACCAAACTATATAAAGAAACTGCCAAATACCAACCCACCACTGCGTGCTTCAAATGGACTTGAAGACAGCGAATTACAGCGTGATTTCACTTAGGAAAGAGTAACACAAATTTATCACAGAATTTAGATTTTCAACTTTCAAGCTACTGTATGAAGAGAGAGAAGCAACTTCATCCTTCATCCAACAAACCAGGGCTGGGATTTTTCCTTTTGAAGCTAACTGTTCAGTTTCATGGGTTTTTTTCCAAGTTCAGTAGCAATGGAGATTCACTGAAACAAACTTTGTGCAATGAAAAACTACTTCTTCATTCAAATGTCAATGCTACAATACAAATTAATGTTTCAGAGTGCTTTCTCACTGCCTCCTTAAGGATCTCCTCCTCTGAATATATCTGGTATTGAAGGGTGGAACCAGCCTAAGCTTTCCCCTGCCCACAGAAAAAATACTTCTTCAACTAGACGAGAATTCAGCAACTACTCAAAAGCAGAACTTACTTATTAACTAAATACCACACTTTGTTCTTGGTTTCTATCAGAAAAACCTTATCAAAATACACATAGGCCAGTACAATAAACAGAGCAGATAATAAACTTCTATTTGTCCTTCATCTGAGGTGTTTAGGTCCACCTTACCAAGCTCCTAAAACAAATGCATTTTAACACAGGAGAGAGAGACTGGGAAAGCTAAATATTGTAAAGGTTGTTCCTCTTTAATTGTCTTCTCTTCACTTATTTCTCATAAGAAAGCTATTCTATACTTTTAGTCATACTTCTGTTCCTTTTCTGTACCTTTTCCAGCACTACTAGACAGCACTGGAAAGGGAAGGGCCAGAACTGCACAGGATATTCAACACAAATATTGGCCATGATTTATACAACCATACAATGACTTTTTCTGTTTGATCTCAGTCCATGCCTAATAACTCTTTCTTACAGTCTACTTCCACTGAATCATCCATTGAGACCCCAAGTCTTCACTCCTGAACATTAGTAGTCAGCTTGCTCCCATGACCAGAGGAACCTGTCCTCCAAAGCTATTCAGTATTTCCTTGATGGTTTCAACAATGAAGTAGAATGAACACTGAAGCTGTGCAGGTGACAAGTGTTAAAATACTTCTGGGGGCAGAACCAAAGTTTTGATGAATGATGTAACAATTCAAAGGGATTTTCGTCAACTCATGAAAGTGACAAACTCCATTCACAGCAAGCAGACAGATTTTCAAAACCACGATAGGCTTTCAGCAGGGAAGCCATACACTTAGATTCTGCTTATAGATGTTTCTAAGTCATTCCGTGTTGTACTGAGAAAGCTTGTTGACAGGGGCTGTCTCTTGAATATCCAGGATATCTCCATCAAGTAGAATAGTTCTATAACGTAATCAGCTGGGCCAGATGCAATGTATTTCCACAAGTGTCCTCCTTTCCATACGATCATTATTAACAGAGTAAATTGTAAATAGCTCAAGTTTTGTTATTTATGTCATGCCTGCGTGCGTGCTTATGAAATGGAACAACGAAAATGCACATGAAAAGATACACATATTTATGGAGCATATTCAAGTGTAGGAGGTGAACTTCACAATACTGCTACAATGAAAATTAATATGCACTAACAGGCAAGAAAATTAACCCAAAACGAGCCCTGATTCAGACAGAGATTTTCATCTCCATCAGGCAAGAGGAGGGGTGCTATGAGCTTATAACTCTATTCTGACTTAAAAAGACACGAAAATCTCCTGACAGAAGTGGTCTGTAGCATCACTGTTTGTGTCATTCTCATATTCCCTACTTAATTACCAATATGGGGGCGAGGTGGGAATTAGGTGGGAATATTAATAACTGATGTTATTAGTATTTACATAACTCCTGGTAAAAGCAAATCACTTCCTTTGCCTTAAAAGCCCAAATGTATTTAGAAAGCAAATTCCGAGCCATAGGAGTTTGGTAGGCACAAGGAAGAAAGCACTTCTGTGGGATAATGACTGTTAATTTTTGATAAAATTAAAGAAATGAGATTACATTCAGTCTTTGGAGATGAGAGATCTATTTCACAGGCTGATTTATAACAGGAAACATTTATACACTGAATTATAATATCATTACAAGAAATATTTCACAAAATATTTAATTTTCCAATCCTGACTCCAAACAGCGTATGAATTTAGTTGTTGCCCTTCATCACTGTAATAATTTTAAAAAGCAAATCTAAATTACTTATCTAAAATAAAAATCAGCAATGTATATAAGCAAAGTTTACCTTTGATCTGTGATCTGAATAAACTTGCAAATACCATGCTGGAAAAAAACAGGATATTGCTAATAACTGAAGAAGTTACAGAAAACCATGTGGGACTCAATCCAAGCCCATTAAACTAAATTGAAATAACACAGTTGAAATAAGTGAGACTTAGACCAGGCACTTATAAACTGTTGTAAGAAAGCAGGTGAATTACCGTGTTTTCCATAGTAGTTCTCCTCATCTCTATCCATGTTGCTGTACCTGGATGACTTTAGCAAGCTGTCTTGCGGGAGATACTGCCTGCAGGCTCCTGTGCTGCTAGCACACTGCCCCCAGCAAGCACAGATACATCGAAATACTATTTAAATAGATTTTAAAATAAAGCTGAGTGTCAGGGACTCTCCAATGAGAATGGCAAATCCCAGAGGAGGCAAGCCTGGCTGTGAGCAGGAAGTTACCACTCAGGGCCTTGCCTACCTTCTGCAAGCCAGTCTGATAGCATGAACAAAGAGAAACGACTCTTATCAGCTTGTACAACCTGCAGGGTATAAGCAGAAAGGGAAACGTGTTCACCTGAATAGCATTTGTAAAATAATCCTACAAAAGTCAATACAACCAAAAAAAACACTGATCTTTGCTGGGAGTAAGTCATCACAGTTGGTAATTATTGTGCTTTTGTAGGCTGAGCTGCTGCAAGAGAAAACAGTCTTCACATGTCATGGCTGGCCACATCTTTCTTCCTGTACACATGAGACGAGCTGCCCCAAAGTACAAGCCATGCAAGCAGGGAAAGTAAGATTTACTCCGACACGCTCAAGTCTAAAGTGTACACTGTCTGTGTAGATGGAACTTTTGTTCCTGTCAAGTGCAACATTTCTCTGTAGGAGGAGTCACAATTTAGTAACTTTTCTTCTTAATAAAATTTACATTTTGCAGTTCTGCACAGCACAGAAGTGTAGAACAGCAGAGTTGGTGTTAGAAAGTCTTCACATTGTTACTTTCGATACTGTAACGCTTACACCGTGAAAGGAACTACATGGCATCACAGAATGTGAATCTGAAAGCCTGAAGCCATTAAGAAAAAAGAAAAAAGGAAAAGCAACCAACCTCTCCTTTTAGCCACAAAGGAACAGAATCCCTGTGTGGCCATCCTGACCAGCACGAAACCTCCGTTCTCTATGAAAGATGACCAAAACACTTACAGTAGAATTCTGTAATGAGAAACACATACACTTGCATTCCTACAATAGCTTTACAAGACAGGGCTCAACTCCATGCAGGAACAACAGAAGTAATGTTTTTAAGTTAACCCTGTCACTGTGTAGTACACAAGGGCAAAGAAGAATGATCTCCTATTACAGTTCACAAATGATGTCCGTGACATGAAGCCACAGCCTGTTTTGCTACTACAGAACACAACAGCTACGTTAAAATGTTTATCAGGTGAGATATTTAGTACTACCACTATCAGCAACTGATGATAAAAACAATATCAGGATGCAGAATGATATTTGGTAAAATATTAACCCTTGACTGAACTCTCATACTTCACTAGACTTCCTGCTATCCATAGGCAAATACAAAGAAAAGCAGGGAAGCCAAGTGACTGATGGCACTGTGCTCCTACTCAAGTTTGCACCTCTGTCAAAGGCTGCTTCAGCAAATCCTGATATAGCACAGTAACAGAAGGCCTTGAACAGTGCTAAGCACACATGTACACTAACTAACATGGCATTTGGCCAGCAGTTTATCCCCCAACTCTAATAAACTGCTATTTCTGCTTTAATAACTACCGGTGTCATCAGGTTTCTTTCGTGGTGTTTGGTCAACTATTGCACGTGCCCGCGCCTAGAAATGGCATGGCCTTTTACTAACCAGCCCTTTTATGGGAAAGGTGTTGGAGCTGAATGTGTATGTGCTGCTTCCGCCTGCTGGAGTACATCGGTACCTCATGGTCTTCCAATAACAATGCCTCAGCAACAGTAATGACTCCTTTAGGGCAAGTGTATCAATCTGCTGCTGCAATGCTCAAAGATACAAGAGCACGAACAAATTGGGTCTCTAGGAAATGCTCGGGGTGTGTCAGGATTGAGCG